TACACAAGTATAGTGCCTCGGCTCATAGGCGATGCCAATGGCATGAACCATTAGGTGGGACAAAATCAAAAGTAGCAGACAACAAATAAAAGCTCCTTTCGCAATTCTCGGAAACAATAGAGGTTTTGAATGCGATCTGAGGGATTTTAAGGAGAAAAAGCTATCGCTCATGGGCGGAAAATGTACATGGAATTAAGGCGTCAGGCTTAGCAACAGGCTGATTGCTCTCGTAATACAGGGTAACAGCCGCGTATGCTTTTTGCGGCAAACCGGTGTTTGGAGTGTTCCGTCAGTATTACGTTGTACGAGGACGTCAAGGAATGGAAGTTTGCTGTCAACTGCTAGGGATCACGTATAAGCTCGAAAACGAAATTGACAGTAAACTCCAATTTCTTGACGTGCTCGTACAGACGAATACTAAAGAAATATCCCAAACATCGGTTTACCACCAAAAGCATATACGGATCCTACATTACGAGAGCAACCACCCTGTTGCCCACAAATGGAGTATGATTACTACCTTAATCAGTCTAGAAAGCACGCATTATTCTAGCCCCGAACTTTACCAAGCTGAAATCTATCATCCGTCCAAACTGTTTTCAAAAAATGCTTGACCTAGAGAGTTCGTACATCGATACATGAGGCTACAGAAGTTAAAAAAGGAAAAGATCTAGATCGTTCCGATTAGATGCCCAATCCAAGAAGTTGGTAAACAAAATTGCGGTTTAAATTTCTCGTCCTCCGTAAGAAATACTATTTTCGGGATATTGGTCTACTTAGCACTCTGGCTTTTGTTAGCTTTTGTATCCGCTTTCGCACTATCTTCAGCCTCAGAAGTATACACCAAAACAATAGCCAAAACGACCGAGACCTCCGTGACCGCCCTCTGTCAACAGTTCTGCGGGATTTCAGTTATCTACGAACGAGTTCAAAGGCGTTTGCTTATATTTGTCTTAATAAACTTGACTTGACTTGACTGAGTCATTTCGATATTTTCTTCATACAGTTAATCTGCCTGCAATTTCTGGATATAACGTTAACAGGGTTTACTGTTACTCTGATCTAGTATGGAACTCTAAACTACATCTTTAGGGCATCATGCAAAATGTTTGCAACAAAAGGGAATCGAACGCAGGTTCTGTGGTTCGCGAGGGTTGTGTGAGTCCACTAAACCATAGCTGTACATCTCTTTCTCGGATTTAATTGATGATCCGAGCATTGATCGTAATTCTGCTGACGGGAATCCCAGATTTGGTGCCACAGAATTGCCCACCGCTAAGCGGACTAAAAGTTTTCCAAGTTTGATGGAAGTAAATTATGAAGACGAAGGCTGCATGACATGCACGAAAGTTTTCAACAATTTTTTGGCATGCAGAAGGTCATTGGCGGCCTTGAAATGGAGATTGAGAAGCTGAAAAAAATTCCAAGTTTTTACCCAATGACTCGAAATTGGAAAGGATAGGCGCCGAAAATTCCAACAAAACATACGCAACCACAGCTTCCTCAGACGCAATAAGCAATGGGGAAAATGGCTGCGCGTCTATAGGGTTAAGTGTAACTGCCAAAAAGGACGAAACGATTACATCTCAAAAGCTGAGGAAACAAAAAGCGAGTTCCCAAGCAAGGGGAAACAAAAGAACGTCCGACGTCATCTCGGAAAAGCACAGTAGGTCCGTGTCTCAGTACAAGGGAAAGTCCGCACGAAATTCCCACAATTGCTGCGTTGACGAAGGAAATGTCCCATATGCATCAAGCTTTCGTAAACGAGGAACCGTACAATAGTTCTGCAACGGCAGCTGTCTTTGGATCGAAGGATGATGACAACTCCAGTTAGCACAAAGTGGTCGATGGCTACAAAATGAACCGAAACGCCCCTTATTTGATCGCAGTCAGGGCATCGTCGTAAAAGGCATGCCTGGATCTGCTTCGGATATTCCAAGGAACAGAGTAGACAACGATATGGAATTATTCTGACAGTATGTTGAACCTCTCCTGAATGAAAGCGAGGAAATGGAAGTCCTCGTCTTAAGGGCATTAACCGTGGGTCAGAAAAAGGATTCAACTGAGGACTCGGGCCAACGTAGACCGATAAAATTTATACTCAAAAATGAAGAGCAGGCGTGGTTGCTATTGGAAAGAAAACCGGTACTACGGAATATTCAGCCGACGGCTTTTTCAGCAGGATTATTCACTAACCGAGCGGGAGAAGTGAAGGGAATTGAATAAGGAACTTCAGAGGAGATCCAGTGCGGGCGAGAGGAACCTGCAAATATCGAACGGGGAACTCATAATCGCCCAAAGGTCACAACTGTGGAGACAGCCAATAACGCTGAGTTTTACGAACAAAAGTTAGACTTGCATCCAGACAATAAAGTATATAATCCGCAAAATATTTCTGGCTAACCCGACCCACAAATTGCTTAGAAACCTATACCGGTGAAAATCCGCTTTCTTTATATGAACACACAGAGTTTGCTTCAGAAAATTGATGAGTTTAATAAACGTGTAGCTGACATACAGCAGGACGTCATCTCCTTTACAGAGACCTGGTTACAGGGGGACGTAATGGATGCCGAAATTGTACCCGGGGACTATCAGATATTTCGCCGGGACCGGCTACATAAAAGGGGATTAGGAATAACAGACTTTGTCAAGAGGGGCATCATTCGTCAGAACGCAAAATCAGTTGCTCCCATGATTTCGAGGCTCTATGGCTTAAACTGAAGACGCGTGGTGCACCCAATACAGCCACTACACTACACACTTTCTTATCTCACCGCCAAGATGCTACATTATTTTTCTCACGACAATAAGCGTCCCGAAACCTCAATACCAGGATCCCATCTGACTGAATAAATGAGTAGTATGGTGTGATATGATGCAGTCTTTTCTCCTAAATTTTTTTTGGAAATCGGTGGCTCGCTGAACTCCGCCGCCGATGTAGAAGTTTTTTTACTGCCTAGTGACCATTATTTTATAGGAGAGTTCGTTGTTGATCGGATCTGACTTACTATCTTACCGCGCGTAATATACTACTCCTTCCCGTTGTTAAACAGTTGCTTACGCGCAGCTGTAATTACCAACTTTGTTTTTTTTTCTTTTCATTATAGCACTTAGTTTGTACTGAAAGGGCCCTTTGGCCTTAAACATACAATGTATTTATTTATTATTTCATGAGTGGTTGAAGTACGGGACGGCGAAGTGTTGAGACATGAACACAGAGTTCATAGTCTCCCTTGAGTGATACGGATCCGATATTCTGCACCAAAGAAATGTATCGACGAACGGCTGCTCGCTGTCGGTTGAAAGATTGGCCGATTGCCGGCTACGGATTCAGCACTATTGCCCTCAACATGACGACTAGTGCAGTATTCAGCGTCCGCGAACTCCTTCAGAGTGGAAAACAGATTGCAACGAGTCAGCGCCCAAAATTCGTGAAAGTTATCTTGAATGTAGAAAACTAGTGATAGTTCTCTTAAATAATGATTGTATATTTAAGGCTCAGGCTCCCCGTCATTACAAACTTAGTGCTGTGATGAAAATAAATAAATATTTGGAAATAGCAGCTGCGTGTGAGCAACTGTATGGACAACCACTGCACCATGTGACGGTTTATATTTTCCTGACTGAAAACTTGTTAACATTGTTTATAACTCTTGAAATTTTGATGTGACAAATAGGGAGTTCAAAGGCGTAAGCCTATTTTTTCCTCAAATATACTGACTGACTGAACAGAAAAGAGTAGTATGTTATAAGTATTAATTCACATCCGGTTCAAAAGGGACAGTCATTTAAAACATTATTCAACAATATTTGGCAAATGCGGTGAACTGAGAAAAGAAGCAGTGAAGAAAACTCCTATAAGTGGAATAAGAGGCAAAGTTCAGCGAACCTCTGATTTCAATGTATACGGGAGAAAAAAACTGTTTCTGTTATTAATACGTAGTTAGATTGATATTATGCAGTTTGGATGAGGTCAATGCGAAGTTGCCTGTAATTGAGAGGGAAAAAATCAAGTTCAGTCAGTCTGTAAAAATAGTCCCTTCTGTAATCTGTGAAGCCACAAGGGATCGAGGTTAGCAAGTTCACAAAGATGTAAGTAGGACAAGTTGCAAAGCTTGCCGATCAAGGTCAAGGTCGAGCGCTGGTTTCGAAATTTCAGCTAAGTC